TAGTTAGCAGAAAGTTGAGTTCCGAGGACATCCTGCATTAGAAGTCATTGCACTGAACGCAGCTACTCCAGTCTTGCCCAACAGACCTGACTGCTGCAGTATTTATCCTTGTAACTTTCTACACGTCCCAGGATACTAAGGAGCTCCGTATCACGCTCACCACTTAGCATGACTGTCTTTCATGTGTCTTATATTTGGGATTTTCTTTTATTCGTTGACTCCTGTTACGTTCATGGATAGAAGATAATAAAACAATCGTTGAAATTGTCTATTTTCTGCTTTATGCTCTCTATCGATGTGTAAATCCGTTTTCAGATTGAAACGCACATTTTTTCAGGTTGCAAAAAAAGCCTGAAGGTTATCCTTGATGTTTCAGGATTGTGGGTAATGTTTACTTGCCCCGCATTCGATATGATTGGTGTAGTTAAACGAACTGTAAGTAGCGGGTTGACCCACTTGCTAACTACTTGTAGCCCCTGGTATTAACACCGAGTTTGTGGACTCCAATTACATAGCAGCAGAGTTCAGGGAGATCGCTGCATGCATCTCAACGAAACGACACGAAAATAATCCGTTCGTTGCCGCGTCAGATCACGTATCGCTGCTGCAGAGAGGCTGGTCAACCTAACCTTTCTCCTCACCCCCTCGCCCTTCACTTCAAGCCTTTCCTCTACTGTTAATTCAACACACAGGCGACATTAGTCTTTCAGCTGTCATAGATCTCATATCTTCACGCATCAATTTCTTAACCCTAATGTATGTGCCGGCTATCGTGAGGCTATTTTAGCTTCTACGGCCCCTGACTTTATTTTTGCTTGCTTTTATTCTTGCTGCAGAATCAGGAATATATGAAAAATTTATTGGAGTGATGTAAGTGATTTAATTTGTGAGTACTCGCTGAATTATTGTCGCTTGCTTTTTTAACTAAAAATCACCAGCTCCTCAGTAGAATTCATTAATTTCTAATTAATTTTCATTAAGTTTGTTGGGTGTGTGATTTCAAATGAAGATAATCGTTCACTTTAGGTGGTGTACGTCACTTTTGAATCCTACATCTCTCTTATGCACATTAGACGCCCAGCTTTCAATAGACTTATTTGGCGTCATTTTGTCCTACTTTTACAAATAACGTATTGGACTTTTCTCTATCTTAACTTTAGCTACCGATGTTCAAATATAACAGCACTCGATATAGTGCTACAAAGCGTGGTGTATGAAAGCTCCAAATAACCTCAACCTACTATATTAGTAGCATTCCTAGTGCGCCTTCCTGTTGAGTGTTGACTGCACACACAACGCGTCCTAGATCGCCGTGATTACGCGTTTCACAAGATGACATGTTTTGCCAAATGTGAATACATTATAATTAAGCCTTCTATTCTAGGTTATTTTGCCCTTGCTGTTTCTGCATGAGCTTTTGCAGCTTATATGAGCATTAATATTATTTCTCCGTGATGTAGGTATATAGCTGTTGAACTTCGTCTCAATTGAGTTGTTAAGTAAACCGTCGTAAATCAATAGATGTTGCCTAACTTGATGCGGTGAAGCTAATAATGCTACCTAATGGGGGCCGCTTGGACTTTTTTTATAAAATTTCGTATATTTCAGAGAAACAAGACCGTATAAAGAGCAACAAGACCGTATATTCTGATCAATTGCACCAACATATGGACGGTCTGCAATAATGACATTTACCACCTTTAGAAGGCAAGGCATCAGTAATATGTCGAGCGCTGCAGCACATCCTGACGGCAAGGATGACTCAGCTGTTTTCGCGTGCGGGTCTGGTCTTGGATTTCAAGGCTACTGCCGCAATGATACCTGTCATTTACGAGTCTAATTTAGGGTTAACACCTCTATAAGGCGGATGTGTGTGCAGGTTTCATGGTAATCCCGCCGCATTTTAAAGAACTGTGGACATACTCCTCGAGAGATGTCTTTCCGTGGTTGTTCGTGCTGAATAAAGTGCATGCAGCTAATGATCCTTATTAAAATTCCAACAGAAATCGGTAACTTATAAGATTTGAACTAGTCCCTCTTGGACGCAGCTTGTAGGTTGCTTGATCTCGCATGCTAATTTTTAAACGTGGTTTTATTGGGCGTTTCATTTGAGTTGCTGTTCTTTTACATGGTCTCACGGTTTTCTTGTAGTTGAAGAATTGTGAATTTGTTGATGCATTGCCAAAGATGTTTTAAATCTGTATATATAATTAAATGGGTTCAACAACTGCATAAGAGAAAATGATAGTCTATTTATTTTGCCTGCAATTACACGCTAATGGTCTGATTCAAAATGAAGCATTTCCGCTAGTACTACGTTATAATATAATCGAGTTTAGAAGTATACAGGCAGCTTCATTCCATGCGAGAGTTGAATCGTTGTAGGCACAACTTGTGTTGCTGTTGCAGCCCATGCGGGCATTCTATTTTGTATAGTGTAAACAAGAGACTTTTTGGTTGACCTTCTCTCTCGGGTACTATAAATAGACCAACAGGTGGCATGGATATAACCATTATCATCCATTAGATATCGAGCGAAATGTTGAAGTAGATAAAAAATTATGAATGAACCAATTTCTAAAAAAATTTCTTGCTTGACACTATTTTCATAAGAAATAAAACTGCTGATGAATAAATGTACTATTCTTTTCATATAGGTAGAAATTCTGAATGTTCATAACAAATAAAAATACTGATGAATAAATGTACCTACCATTCTTTTTATATAGGTAGAAATTCTGAATGTTCATAAGAAATAAGAATGCTGATGAATAAATGTATTGTTTTTATATAGATATTGCGAGCTTGTAGCACATCTTGTAGCGACGGTCATGTGGAAGACCTTCACTTTAAAGTAAGATTATCTCCACTGAAGAAGCGCCGCAAAACCGCCTCATCCGCCTCGTGACCAGCCAGCGTGGATGCTTCTCGAATACTTTCAATAAAAGAAGATAGAATTTTTTTTCCTATGCAAGCGTTTTTTTGTAAATGCTCGATTTTTCTTTTATTTTTCTCTAGTGTGATTATTATTTTTTTTGCCTTAAAGATATAAAATCAATTTAAGTGCGCTTGATCAAATTGTTTCGTCCAAATTTTTTTCATCACTTAAATTTACCTCCATTTTATTTATGCAAGAAGGATTTTCTCTCGGTGTAGCTGTGGCTGTTTTTCTCTTAGTTGTGTTGAATGTGATGCTGCTAGACTGCTAGAGGATGTAAGCCCTAACGGCCCCTAAGTGAAAGAAGATACAAAATGGCTTAAACTATCGAACACTTCCTGTCTGCTCAACTCAAGTGGGAATTATAGTGTAAATATTAATTATATTTAGCTAAATCTATCACCTTTCCATGCTAATTCTGCAGTACTTACAACAATCTATTGCATTGACGCTCCTATTCCTGCGTTTTCTTTCTTTATTATTTTTTGTTTGATCGTTTAGATGTGATAATAGGCTTTCTAGTCGACGATTGTTATTTTTTAATTTTCTCTTAGAAATGAGAACGTTGCTTTTTATGTCCTTTTTGGAACAACAAAAAAAATCGAGAAATCGGATCTTGAGTTGCGAGTCTCTGCCGTGTTAGGTATTCTATATTTAAAATGCATGATGTCGAAGCTGCGTTTTACAAGTGCGACTTGTTTGGCAGTGAACAGAATGCGTTCTTCCGGCCCAGCGCAAACAATGGGCATATCTTAACAAGCTGCCGCATTCGCAGTCCTTTGCTAGAAATTCTTCCATAATTCTCAGCTGTATCCATAATTCTCAGCTGTATTGCATACTGCCGAAGGTTGCTTGTTCCAGTGTCTAACCTATGCTTGTGAGGCGTAATAAAGTGGTCGTCCTTCAAATGGACAAAATCTGTAGGATGAAGGTGAAAAAAAGACGACCGTCTGCTGGACGATTGATGGCATCAGCTGCCGTTTGTGGCTCTGTGGCTGAGTAGTGTGCTTGTATTGCTAAATTTTTGCTTATTTTTTGAAGGATGAACTTACTGTTCATTGATATTCTACTGAGATTTGCAGTTAACTCGAAGTGAATTTGAGATTTGTTGTTGATATTTGCACTTCAGGGATATCGGTAATATCGACGCTCGAAGTGTGGATTCGATATTACTTATCTACTCGTGTTAAGTACGCGCAAAATATCGGGAAATTGGCTTTAATATATATCTAGAAAGTCATGCATCAACGTTCATTAGCATGTTCAACTGCCGTACAGAAATATATATATATAAGCTACTTGATCGACGTGCTGTGGTGGTGGCTAGTTTCGTTCTATCAGTCAAGAATCTTGACGATTATTTCACAAGTGGTGTGGTAGTTGTTCTGCACCTGGCTATACTGTAGGGAAATTGTACTGTCCGTGTTCGAAACTCAATGCTGCCGTTGTTGTGCACATCTATTTTCTGTGCATTGATTACTTCTTGTGATATATACCTGCTATTTTCGTGCCATTCACAGGATATATACTGAATGCTCAAGTTGATTCTCAGGGTAATGTCTCCGTTGACCTTCGAAATGAATTATTCCCATGTCTACTGGGATTAATTTTTCTAGTTATGTTTGTTAGCTGAACTCGACTGCATCGATGTTACTTATTTCGATTTAATAACTAGTTTACCATCGCACTGTTGTGATTTACTAACCGGTATACCTGGCCTTGTATTGTCCTGTTTAGGTCCACTTACTCGTGTAGTTTCTGACGCGCTTGCTAGCCCATATACTTTGTCTTTGTATTTCCCGTTTAGTCAATACTACCTCACGTACGTGTGTGACCTGTTAACGCGAGCACTTTTGTGCTTTGCTCACCCGTATACCTGGCCTTATATTTTTCTAATTGGCTGTATTTTTACTTCTTGTATTATTTAAGCTAACGAGTGAGCTTGTCGTGCGCAGAGCGACGAGATCACTGTATACCTGGCCTTGTATTTTCTAATGTGCTGTATTTTTACTTATTGTATTATTTGTTTTATTAAGCTAACGAGTGAGCTTGTCGTGTGCAGAGCGACAACGAGATCAGCGGTTACATGCGCAACTCGTCATGCCACGTGCTGAGGTTCCTCAAGATGTGGTACGAGCTGCCGTCCGACGCCCTCTTCCTCGCCATCAATATCATCGATCGATTCCTCACCAGGATGAAGGTGACACTTTACTTCTATTTCTTCCTTTTGATGTTGAATTGTAATTAATTTATGCTAGATTAACGTGAACTCTCTTTTGGCCTCAATAGACAGACAGCTCCCTCACCGGGGTGAGTTGACACTTGTATTGTATTTTCCAAGTTTGGTGTAAAATTTAAAGATTTATGATAGTTCGATATTGCTGTTTGTCGACAATATTCCTGCGCTATTCGGCAGGTGTAAGACCATCGCCTGAAGACTAAGATTTTAGGCTCATGGTTCTGGTCGGGTTTGAATTGCAAATCTATTAGCTAAATTATTATTTGCCGGCAATACAACATATTAGTTTTTTGTAAGAAGATAAGTTAATTCAACCGTATGTATTCCTGTAGTACTTGAGAATTTGCTTGCTGTAATTTGCGTGATAGTTATTGTTCTGTTTAAGGTTAAGGAAATATGTGTTAAAATGCAACACACATTTATGATTTTTAATTTTATAATCAGGCACATTTTGATTAATTTGGATGTTCAAACTTCGTCATTACACAAATACACTTATGATTGATCATTTGTGTTCTTTTCGTGTATGAACTCAGCTGCAGCATGTTCATCTGTGTCAACATTTACCTAAGCTGTTGACAAACTTAGGTTGCAGGCGGCCTCGCCGCTCTATTTCTAGAGCCTCGCATAGTGACGGCTTAAACCACACTCTAGTTTGATCCATGTCAGCTGTTTTAATCTCTTTGTTTGTACACAAACCTACTTATGTATATATGGTCTAATTTCAATTTCTTCAGTTACAATTTACCGAGTGTAGAGCTGTATTGATATGTAGGTTATATATTCTCCCTCCGGACGATAATCTTACTATTTCTTTATGATCAAATATCGAACTCCTCAATTTTAGCACCACATGGTACTAGAAATTAGTTTCTTCTTAATTTAATACCTACAATATCCTTTTTAACCTTAATTGCTTGCATTTTATTCATATTGAACAAATAATATTGTGCGTTTTTTTTTTTGTAAATTTTATTTTGTCAAATTATTGTAAGGTTTACTTCTCTTGTCACTGCAGAAGCTATCACGCCGTTAGAGGCACAAAATCTGCAGCTCCTAGGGAATATGTTTTTTTCTAATTGGTTATTAATATAATTTTTTCATCATGCAGGACGAGTTGAAGCAAGGAGTTTACCTCCTTCTAAAATGAGTTTGATAAAAGTACAAAGTTTACTTTCTATAATCCAGGTTGCACCACTAAAACCTGAATTTAGTCGCCATATATACATAGCTTCTAAAATCAAATGCTAACTGATTTTTCCACTCGCGTTTCGTACTCTGTTTCTGTCTCTTATACACATCTAGATGTGTATAAGAGACAGGTTTAAGGTTAAGGAAATATGTGTTAAAATGCAACACACATTTATGATTTTTAATTTTATAATCAGGCACATTTTGATTAATTTGGATGTTCAAACTTCGTCATTACACAAATACACTTATGATTGATCATTTGTGTTCTTTTCGTGTATGAACTCAGCTGCAGCATGTTCATCTGTGTCAACATTTACCTAAGCTGTTGACAAACTTAGGTTGCAGGCGGCCTCGCCGCTCTATTTCTAGAGCCTCGCCTAGTGACGGCTTAAACCACACTCTAGTTTGATCCATGTCAGCTGCTATATTCTCTCTCTGTTTGTACACAAACCTACTTATGTATATATGGTCTAATTTCAATTTCTTCAGTTACAATTTACCGAGTGTAGAGCTGTATTGATATGTAGGTTATATATTCTCCCTCCGGACGATAATCTTACTATTTCTTTATGATCAAATATCGAACTCCTCAATTTTAGCACCACATGGTACTAGAAATTAGTTTCTTCTTAATTTAATACCTACAATATCCTTTTTAACCTTAATTGCTTGCATTTTATTCATATTGAACAAATAATATTGTGCGTTTTTTTTTTTGTAAATTTTATTTTGTCAAATTATTGTAAGGTTTACTTCTCTTGTCACTGCAGAAGCTATCACGCCGTTAGAGGCACAAAATCTGCAGCTCCTAGGGAATATGTTTTTTTCTAATTGGTTATTAATATAATTTTTTCATCATGCAGGACGAGTTGAAGCAAGGAGTTTACCTCCTTCTAAAATGAGTTTGATAAAAGTACAAAGTTTACTTTCTATAATCCAGGTTGCACCACTAAAACCTGAATTTAGTCGCCATATATACATAGCTTCTAAAATCAAATGCTAACTGATTTTTCCACTCGCGTTTCGTACTCTGTTTTACACACAAAAATATGTTTCCTCATCACCCTATTCCCCTTCCTAAATTGGTTCCTCTTGATCCCCATTCCCCATCATAAATAATTTCCTCATGATCCTATTCTCCTTCTTAATTCAGTTGCTCATGACACCAACTCCCCTTCCTAAATCTGTTCCTCATGCCCCAATTCCCCTTCCTAAATCTGTTCCTCATGCCCCAATTCCCCTTCCTAAATCTGTTCCTCATGCCCCAATTCCCCTTCCTAAATCCGTTCCTCATGCCCCCAATTCCACTTCCTAAATCCATTTTTCATGCCCCAATTCCCCTTCCTAAACCACAGTTCCTCATGACCCTGATTCCCCTACCTAAATCATTTTTCATTCCCCTAGTCCCCCTTCCTAACTCAGTAATTCAAGTTCTTTTCGTGTTGCCAGGCTCTACCGAAGCACCTGTCGTGCATCGCGGTGTCAGCGTTCCACGTAGCATGCGAGGAGCTGAGCGCCGCGTCAGGGATCGCCGCGCCCAGCCGCGAGAGCGTCAGCCACATCAGCCAGAGCAAGTGCAAGTCTGGCGACGTGCAGCGCATGGAAGACATCATCAGGACCAAGCTCGAGCTGGGCATGCATATTCCTGAGTTCAACTTGACACGCCCCAGAAGAACCTGGAGGATTATGGGCGCCAACAGCAACCCTGTCACTTCGCTCACCTTCCTCAAGTAAGTGACCCCGCTAGTTCGTGAGGATTCTCACGAACTTGCAAACGAATTTAAGTTGTTAAAGTTCTGGATTTCTTTTACTGTCTGCATATTTACTAATTTCTAGCGTTAGACTCGTCTTTTTAAGTTCCCTTCTGTCGAGGACTTTGTTTTATTTTTTACCGTCTACTGTTATATCGATATTAAATTATAATTAATGATTATTCATGTTTCAGGCTTCTGTACGCGGGTCTGGAGCAGCTGCGCGACCGTCACTTCCCTGATCTGTCACTACCGCCGCTGGCGAGTCTCGTCAACAAGCTGGAGGTGGTGGCGTGCGACACTCGCACCACAAACTTCAGGCCCTCGGAGCTGGCGGTCGCCCTCCTACGCCGCGATCTCATCTCCCTCGCCAAGACGGACGCTGCTGCTGTCGCTGCCCGCACCGCTTGTCTTCAGCCACTCATCACGCTCTGCAAGGTCTGCCTAGCTGTGTCTGTCAGCTTAGTCCACACTATGTTAGCTTAGACGTGTCTTAGTCAGCTTAGCCTTCCCAAAGTCAGCTTAGCCTTCCCAAAGTCAGCTTAGCCTTCCCCAAGTCAACTTAGCACTCCCCAAGTCAGCTTAGACCTCCCTAAGTCAACTTAGCACTCTCTATGTCAGCTAAGCCGTGCTCGCTCAGCTTAGACATCCTCAAGTCAGTTTAGTCCTTGCTAAGTCAGCCTACTCCTCTCTTATCTGCATGACTCATCCGTTGTCAGTATAGATTTTATATGTCAGCATAATCTTTCCTATAAGCATTACCCTCCTTTTTACAACACTTCTCTTTAACTTCACTTCTTGTTTGTCTGTCACTTCTACTTATCCTATCAATCTGAAATTTTGCACACTTGCGTAAAGTTGGAGACAATGCATGAATCAAATGACAAAATAAATTATTTTGAAATTAAAATTTTTTTTGCAATATTAAAAAAACTGAAAAAATAATTTTGTCAGCTACAAATCTTATAACTGATATTTGACACACATTTACCTGTCCAATTGATTGGAAAATTCGCACACTTGTGTGAAGTCAGAGGCAATGCATGAATCAATTGACAGAATAAATAATTTTGAAAAAAAATTTATATATTAAAAAAATTTGATACATTATTTTTTTCAATAATCGAAAATAAAATGAGAAATTCATTGTACATCTTTAACATTGGAGACACTAGATTCTTTAGAAGTGTTGTCTTTAAAAAGTAATTTTTAAACGTATATTATTATCATTATAACCATCGCCATGTTAGCATTAGGACTAATAGCGAGTCTCTCCGTACAAATGTGCTCATGATGCTTGTAAAGTTTGTTCTTGTTACTTGATTACGAATTTGAATAAAAAAGTCGAAAATAACGAATGCGCGTGACGCTGAGCGAGTAGGGTTATTACATTTTGCATTGAATTATTATTAATCAAAATGTCAATTTAATCAAAATGTCAATATGATTTAGAATGGTCTTTCCAGCACGTGAATTATTAGATCGATTCTGATAGATTGAGCATCAATGCAAAGAGCTCATGATAGCGAATTAAGCGAGACTTGTTTTTCTCCTGTTGCTGATTCATTGGGGGTGATTTGCTACCATATTTCTAGTAACTAAGTATTAAATTTGAATGCTATTATCTTGGATTTTTAAGTAGACTTATCGTTTATTTGTAATTCGTGATCGCAGGTGAACAGCGATGTGTTGTGCAAGATTGAAGATCTCATCACCATGTTGCTGTGCAATTACGAAGACAACAAGTCTGGGAAGACGAGCATGGCGGTGTTCCAGAGGCAGCGACTTGTGTGGCGCCTTTCCAACAGAACCATGAGGCACCTGAAGATCATTTACAAGTACAAGAAGCAGCGCAAGTGAGTTATCAAGTCATCGGACTTAGCGAGGCAACGGTATTTGAAACATTCCCACATCAGTAGTTGAATTAAATAGAAATCTTCAGTAAAGATAATAGTCAAGCTGTTTGCTTGAAAAATTAACTCTACAATTTGTGTTTTCATAAAATCTATTCGAATTTCAACGAATTTAGTCATGAGTTATGCTGGAAAGTAATTTTTTGTAAAAATATTGATTCCGATTTCCAGATTGACCAGTATTGAAGAAGACGATAAAGCAGCGGAAGAGCTGGAACTTTGGACACCTACCGTCCTAGCCGACAACAGCGGCAAAAATTCCTCCATTTGTCTAGACTTGGATGAACAAAACCTTGCTAGCAGCGGTCCATCTGACATTTCCGAGCCCGCGGACGATACCCGCAACTCATGTGGTGCGCCCGAAATGAGCGACGACGAAATGGCTACGGAAGAGACTTCTCCTATGGAGAGCGACGCTGAAATCGTCAATACTCCCACTACATCTGGTGATGTGTGCGTTGTCAGCGAGGAAGAAAGTATGGACATGAGTGATGCGGAGGTCGATGAAAGCGATGTGGAAGAAGAATCGTCTGAGGAACAAGAGAAAATGGACGAAGATATACACCAGCACGTCAAAGGATCAAAGAACAAACCATCGACGGAAACTGTTGCTCACTCTCGCGCTGCCGCTGCAGCAGCCGGTTACCACAGTGACAAAGAGGAGAGTTACTGCCAAGTTGCGAAGAAAATTAAAGAAGACAAACCTCATCTGCAGTCTCCCAGATTGGAAACCTCACGTGCCATCGTCGGGGACGAGATACTGCGGTCCCGCATGCGTAGCTTCGTCAGAACTTCCCCACCATCGAAGATCACACTCACCCCCGTCCTTCCCCAGCCTTCGTCTGCTGTTCGAAACTTGACGCCGTTACTGCAGGGTAATTCATACCGGTACGCGCGTCCTCGGGCGCTAAGCGTGCTGGGCATTGAGAGCATCGATGGTGAGGTCAACGAGCAGCAGCTTCTGCCGCTAGTGGGCGTCAACACGAATATCTCATTCTCCTCGTCACGCAAGAACATCAAGAGGAAGAAATTCTTGCGCCATCTCGCTCGTGCCAGGTATACGTTACCACTTGTTTAGATGCATTAAGTTTCGTTCTTGGTTTTTATTATCTACTCGCCCTGTAGTGTGTTTCTTCACTTGCAACGATTGTGTTGGGCACAATCGAGGGTACCACATCAGAATTGGTATTTTTTTTCTCTTTGCGGTCGATATTATCTACAACATGTGTAGATTTGGGGACGAGGCCATTACCTACAACATGTGTAGATTTGGGGACGAGGCCATTACCTACAACATGTGTAGATACAGATAGTGACGTGCTTTAGGTTCTCTTGTAGCGCTCACTTGACTACTATTGTTGATAAGACTATTGATAGTCTTGAATATTGATAAAAAATGTATCCAATCTAGACAGTTTAATTTGCTAAGTCGTGGCCTGGCGCTTCTTCTCATTGTTCAATAATGCTAATATTCGTAACTGATGTGCAGGAATGAGGGTTCTGACACCGATATGTCTTTGGAGCAAACGTCCTCTGAAGAAGAGATGGACTCGGACTACGAGAAGGAGTTCCCTCCTCTGCCCGTGCCGCGTCCGGCGCTCGCTAGGATGTCCAGCATCGGAAAGAAGCCCGTCGCCCTCAAAAAGAAGAAAAAGAAGAGCGACGCCATGCCCTATGTCGCTAAGAACAAAGCCATGTCCGTTCACCGTATCGCCGTCAACTGAAGCAGCGGGCCGTAAATGTGCACCTAACCATCTTAGAAATTGCTTTGCACGATAATTGCACGACTCGAATTCTGAAGTCAATATTTTTTCCACGTACAATTCACTTGCAAGTCATGCATTCGCGGCGCCTTTCTTCGATTCTTTCATCTTGAATATATTTGCATGGTGGTCCCGCTCGACGCATCCCTGGATTTAAAGACACCTTTTCTCTTGAAATTTCTAACCTAATCAAAGAAGATGCCAGCTATCGCTGAAATGTTTTCACGGTCACTGATATTGACTGAGCCTCATTACCCTGCTGCTGTTATTCATTTGAGTTGTGTCACAGTATTAATGTTGTAATCACGACTCCTCATATTTATTGTTTTTCATTCAGATTTGTCAATTCAGCCTGTTTCCCTCAGACGTTGTATGTGCCGTGTCTCGCCGTAGACGTTCAATTTAGACGTTCAATTGTGACCGACACATTTGCCTGTTAATCCGCCCACCATGTGAAAAATTTTAGTCTAAATTCTACAGGGTGTTCGGCAGATTGACCAGCAATGCTACGGTCGGTTCTTAATTAGATGGTTCACTGTACGGTTTGATCATTGACACTAACAACTTTTGAACGGATCAAAGATTTCTATCCAGTTTCCTTAAGTGATAGACGTAGATACCAGTTCCTTCGCTTCAATTTGAGTTATAAATACAATAATTTCACAATGTAATAAAAGCGAGCCGAGCCGTAACAAGCATACAAAGTTTGCCTATCGGGTAGCTGTTAACCACCATCTACACTTCGTGAGAGTCGATTGCTTCGACACCGCACAGTAACTCTGTTCTTAGCAGTACTAGAGTCGGCGTTTGATCTCAGCGACGTCTTGCTGGTATCACCGATTCTCATGCTTGTCTGATGGTTGCATACAACAATTTTTATTAATATACTTTTCTGGAAAATTTGTTCTTATAAGTGAACAGAATAAAAATATTTAGTTTTCTGGTAGCTTAAGAATCATTGCTAATTTTCTTTGGCCATAAAAGAAAGGACTTTAGTGCAACGGTATGAAGTCAAAAAAATATATTGCCTTTAAGTTGTTGTGTAAATATAATTTTTTCGTTTTTATTATCAGCTATTGATAACGTATGTAATATTTGTTTGGCCAGCAGCAGGAAGTAGTCCTTACCTCGATTGATTTACTGAAGCTTTGACGTTCATGTTACGTTGTGTATACCTCGATGCTCTCATGTGCATTAACGGTCGGTTGCGAGCTTATAATACTTACTCGGATACATTGTCAATGATTTTCTCCTTTTTTGGTGTAAGATTTATGCAATGGAAATGTTGGTTTCGATGCATCTTGCCTCTAGGTAATTATTTATTTAAACATGAACGTAATTGTTGTTTCGGGGGACCGTTTGCGGTTCGGTTGGCGATAGCCGAAAATTGTCGAATAACTTTCACATATTTAGCACTTTAGTGGCAGAGTGCAATGTGAACTGTCGTTATTTTTATAGTTAAGTTCTTTAGTGGGCCAAAGAACTAGTTTGTATCTGCTGTCAAACTAGCTTTGTCCTCGCCTTGTCCACCGTTTCGCGCAATGTTACAAGTCACTATTATGTTCTGCTGTCAAAGAACTTGTTCTCATTAAGTTCATAGTAACAGTCAATAGTTAACTACCGTCTTAACTCTCTAACAGCCAATTGCTTCTATTTATTCGGTATCAGTAAATGGTTTCCTTTGATGACCTAAATGGGTAACAGTTGATAGTCGCTATCGACCTGAATGGGTAACAGTCTATGGTTAACTAGACTCCGCAATGATCACTATTTTGATCATTTTTTGGTCAGTGAGTACGTAAGGCTCCAGTGGTCAGAAGAGTAGAGTTAGTATAGGAAATGTTATCTTGGTACGGTAGTACTGACTTGGTATAAATCAAAGAATTTTCTCTTTTAATTTAAAAAAGGAGCCAAAATCGTGTGATGGGCTCCTGTTTACTATTGCTGCTAAACAATTCGACCAAGATTAATCAAATACTAGAAATACTCGTCATATTAAGAGACTCGTATCTTGCTTCAGATTAACTAACACTTTCTTGGAAAAAACCTAAAAAACCAGTCGATGTTGTCTTAACGCTGCCCTCTCCGCTGAACTGCCAAAGCTTCGCGTCAATTCTTTGCGTTCTAACTTTCATTGTAATTCTGTTACCCGCAATTGAAAAATTTATCTGCTGTTGTTCCATACAATTACACAGCAAACGTGTGCTGCTTTCTTCTGCTTCTGGTAATTGATTATATTGACTTGTACCTGCCAATCGAAGATGCTAGAAGTTTTATCAGCGATTTATGCAAAATAGTTTGAGTGCCAGCAAAAGTTTGCTCGGTTGCTCGCCTATGATCTCCCTAGAGGTTGGGTCATGCTTGCCTCCAGTCTCGCAAGTAGCGCGCTGTGTATAGTAGATTAGTTCATTCCTACAGAGATGTAACTCTTCTGTCGTAGTTGTTGAATTTCAACGGGTCTGGTCTGCTTTCGAAATGCGGTGTTTAGTTTCCCTACTGATCGCGTTCCTCGATCATTTATTTCCTCCCTGTTTATTTGCACAACTTCCACTATTGTAATCTCCAAAATGTATTTTTTGCTTATTGTTACCTTAGGATACCTCCTCATAGAAACACCGTTACCAAATCACCTGTGTTCGGAGCAGTACGTTTTCCCGCCGTAAGTAATTCAACTGAGTAGTCGAATTATCATTCAACTCGGTAGTTGAATTATTAGTCCGAATTCTTCGGTCGTTTCGAGAGGATGAGGCACGACTGGAAGCCTGGCTTGTAGTCGATTCCTGTGAATAATCTAGTGTTACATAATCTTTATAATCTAGTGTTATAGGAATAAAACCAAAAAAAGTTCAAACTAATCCTTAGGTTCTTGATATAGAGCTTGTGTGTAACGATAGATAAATATTACTTCTTATAGATATTTACTTCGCGCTTTCAAGAGATTTGCTGAAGTGGACTGGAAGTATTTGAACTTTGGTGTCCACATTTCTTTGTGTGCGCTTATCCCAATGTATCAACTCAATTCCCATGCTTGATTACTTAAAGTTTATTCTGGCATATCTTGAAGTATTGTTTTTCAGTTACTGATTACCCATAAATTTTCACCGTCTATTTGGATGCAACAACATCATCAGGAAATTCTCCGATCGCTTGTTGGTGCTACTGTATTCATACTTTTATGCACTTTATCCTTATATCTAATTTCGAATACACAACTTGTAACATTGTAACTCAAAATTTGACGGAGCTTATAATCGCCTAGTTTGCTCCTGACTTCAATCAAAAACTCTTCGTGAGTTGAAAACGTGACTGTAGTTATAATTTATCGAGCTTTGATGGTCGCTACATAGCCAAGCTTAATTTATTCGGAAGCGTTCAGTATTTTAGACATATTCTTGAAAGCTTTACATTGTATCCTTAACATCATTGCTGTTATATTCGTGCATAAACATTGATCGGAACTAATGGACCGATAAAATTCGCGTTTGTAACCACAAAAGTAATTCCTTAGTTTTGTAATCGAATGTTCTATGAACAGTCCAATGTTCTGTTCTGATGTAAACGATCGATTTTCTTGTGATCGTTACGAATAAAATGATGCGAATTACGGTTAGCGAAGCTGAGTCCTTCCTTGCTTCTATTTTGCTTTACTACTTCTGATTTTTTTTCTTGTGCAGCAAATTTCATTTAACTGCAGATGAGCTTATCAGTAAGTTACGTACAGCAAGTGTGAGGCACTTGCTTTCGAGATGTTCTGCCGTCTTTCCTCGTCATTAAATGAGAAAAGTACAAAAAAATTATCTTTACTGAAGGTTCACACTGATGTTGGTAGGTTAGAAGTTCGTTAGTTTGTAAGCACTCGGTACATTTTGTCTAAACATCTTCATTAATGAGCGTTGATGTGTAGCTGTCGCTGTTGTTGGTGTGCGCTTAGTTTGCTGCGAATGAAGTTCTATTGAGGTAGGGATTTTCTGCAGCGTTTTTCTTAGGCCTGAATGTATTATTCTTCTGAAAACTGATTAACCTCTCAGAGATTGTGGCTGATTATGCGGAGACTTATTTTAATTTCGGCTTCTTACAGCCTTACTCGTGTTTTTCGATGTGAAGTTTTCAATGATTGAAAACAATTCGTTTCACGAATTTCCATCGTTTGCTGAACTTGGTACTGATAATAATGCAGTATTTTTTCACATTTTATTGCTGCTTGTATTCCTGTTCCTTACTTTATTGATTTTATTTATTCTGAAATAATCGCATTATAACAAATCACTTTCATAATGTGCGTACGTAGAGGCTAGACATGGCATACATGTTGAAAGACTGTCCATTATGCGTTGGATTTAGAATTGAATGTTGATGGTTGGCTAGATATGGCATAGTTAACCTAAGTGGTGGCGTTCGACCTCCTAGTCAAAGTCCTAGAAACGAATCGTGTGATCAAATAACCGTGTCTCTAATACCTCGATGCCGCCATCCGGTCTACAGGGAGGAATCGTTGATGCTAAGACACGCACGAGGTAATTTGATGGTACATTTGATCCGCGAAGGTATGTTCCGTTGTGCTGAATCGTTTCCTTGGACTCTGTAAAGTAAACATATGCCGCTGGTTTATGTAAAATATTGTGTACCATTTTGTAGATAGCTGCTCTGTAGCTGAGATCTGTATAGCTGTTAGGCATGGTTTGTCTCTCTATCGTGAGAGGACAAGTGAAGCAATAGTCGTCTCTACTTGTTGGCTTGTCGACCATGTTACCTATTTTGTCTTCGCATTGGAGTTGAGGTGGCCCGATCAATCGATCGGGCCGCCTTTTCACGTTTGATTTCTGTGATTTAATGAATTTGGATCAATCATTCATCCAAGATTTGTTCTAACAGTTATCGAAAAGGTACTAATAAATGATCATTCCTGAGGGCCTGAGATCCGTGAACCGCATTTGCAATGATCAGGATGAGCGAGACGCGGCTGCTGATGAACAACTGCTGTCACATGCGTTTATTTTTATTCATTTCCAACAACAACCTTATATTTATTTTTGTGATTGATGTAAGCTTATATTATTACGTTGATTATGATTTCTCTATAAATTATTTTATTTGTTGCTAATATTATTGTTGGATGCGTGTATGACAGTACAGTTGTTCCGAGCATGGCTCAGTGGTTGGGTTAAAAACTCAACATTTTATGGCATTCCTGATATTCCGTCACGGGAGATACTGCCCGAGCCAACCATGTCACGATCGCCAGCCAAGATCACTGTTTTTGCTACTTCATTGCGGATCTTTTAGGCTGAACTGAAGGTTTCTAGATGCGTACCGAACCTGAAACCTAAAGTTGGCGGCAGCCGCTGGGTGACTGCCACACCTTAGTCTGCCTGTGCAACTGCTTTCGACAGATTCCTAGAAACAATAACACCTGGTGATGGCGCTGAATCATTCATGACTACGATGAACTTTGTTCTTGGCCGCAAAGTGTGGAAACTTGACGTTGAGAACATTGGTCATCACGATCAGGGTTCGTGTGGCGCAGCATTTACTGAACAGCGCCCGCCAGTTGAGGCGCGTTGGTGCGCTTTGTCACGACAAATTCACTTTGTTCATTCATCGTGTAACCGTCTGAAAAAAAAATACAAAAATATTTTCTTACAATCCTCTTTGATTTTTTCCTCGAGCAGAGTTCTTCAGCACTAATGATGAGCTGATTTGACTGCACTTTCTAATTTAATGGAATTTTTTGCAATTGAATAGGATAATAATTTTCTTCAGATACGAATGCATTAACAGCGAGAATGGTGATGTTGAAACAAACGTAAATGGGCACAACGATATATTATTTAGGAACAAAATAGATTATCCCTGATATGACATTAGTGTACTAAATTCTCTGTACATTTGGTAATACTAGAACGTAAGAGCCAATGGCATATAAAACAATTTTGTGAGACTTCAAAATTGTTTCCCAAGAAATTTGTCTAGAGAACTGACTAAGACTTCAGACATACGTGGGACCTCGATAGATAGGTAGTAATAGGCAGACTATTAGAAATATTTCCAATAAATATCACTGGACAATTGAAGAGCAACGATCCGTTGTGAGTTGATCACAGTTAATACTTTGCACGCACTCAGGGTGAAGGTTTATCGAATACTTTTTGGTAAAGGAGGTTTCTCGAATATTTTTTTAAACTACAGACAATATTCTGTATAAATTCTCTTAAATTTCCAAGAATTGGTTTAACTTTACATAATAAGTAATTAGACTGAAGATACTCAGCAAAAACCTGACAGAAAAACTATTTCAATCTTGCTCTGCCCATATTGGAACCTCTTAAATATAGTTTGTGTTGCCATTCATTAATTAATGATCATCAGTAGTACAAAGAAATGTACTTGTAATGGATTCTTCATGCCTACATTCCTGGAAATTAAAAAAAAGTTCAAGGCGTGATGTGCCGTCGACTTTTGTTCATATTTATGCGCTGCATACATTTTACATTCACGATAAAGTGCATGACATAGATTTTGAATTGGTGTAGATACATAAACTTATACTTATAGAGACAAAAATGTTTCAATATTAGGAACTGACACGACAAAAACAAGAGACCACCATATTGACACCATGAATTGAACTTCTTCCAAGTCCTGTAGGTTTGACGAAGATGAGTGATCATTTAAAAAAATTTAGACATTTTCTCATGAACATCTTCCCAGTTACACGTCAAACATCTATACGACGCACATACATTGAGGAAACAATATGGGAAACTGAAAAAAACTGTTAACACACGAAAAAAAAAACTTTTATACAATTTTGAATGTGATATTTTGCCCCTGCGCTCGGTAATGGTGATTGAAATGGTCCAAGGGACGTACATTCGAAAATAATTACGAGTTCATAACTCCGTAAACCAAGCATTGGCTGCGTTTCAAGCTAAACCCACCAATCACAGACGAGAAATGGACCACAACATTTGCCAAAGCGTGTTTTGATGGCACGGCCCTAGTTGTATAAATTGCCAAAAAATTTCACCTTCTGCTAGGACAGAAGGCACCTCAAGCGCAAATTGAAAACGCACAAAACAAAATCGGAACAATGAGAACATCGATCACAAGCGAACAAATTTTAGTATAACTTATGCTGGCCATACGAATAAGTCTATCACTAATACACGTGAGACAGCTAACTTCCGCTGCCAAGGTTTAACAGTAAACACAACTAACTGATAGTGAGCTTATTTCACTATACCAAAAATAACATAGGTTTCCCGGCAAGGGTAAGAACGAGAAATTAATTCATAAAGAGGAGAAAGTGACATACCTTTATAAATCTGATATATGTTAGATAGAGAAAAAAGGTTTCGTTAATCTCAAACATTAGCCGACATTATTTTCATAGTACAGGTTCAACCCATTGTCTACGGATACATTGACTGACCTCAATGATATTCCTATGGGAATGTATGAGTCGTCGTCAATACGGCGACTTGTCTTGACAAGACCCAGGCAAACCAAGCGACCGGCCGCACATGCAACATGACACACATGACCAAACTTCTTCCGTAAAAAAACACAATAATTACGTGGGCATAATTATTTGCATCTTAAAATTTTAATTTAAGAGCAGGATTAAATACTCAGCTGGTCAAACAACGACTAGATTTGAATGTTGAACTTAATCTTGACATGATAAACTTCAAATTAGGTTGTTAATTAACAACGCTGTTATATCGTTCAAATATCAATCAGTATTTATACTGCTTCATGTTATGAGAATACACTAATTTGTAACAAAATTACATCCAGAGTAAAGGCATTACATTTAGTGAAATAGACGAAACATAAAACTTTCTCACAGAAAAATTGTTACAGATTAAATTTAGCATCACCGCTCAACTTACTAGTGCTATGTTAATAAAACAGTCAAGTAATAGAAAGTGAAGAAAAAGACACAGTATTATCTAATCACAGTTGCCTTTAAGAAAATGCATTTATTGTTCATTTTCAAGATATAAACTTTAGATCTAACAAGACTATCGACACTTCCGAGCCAAGTGCCGCTGTTAAAAAGTTGATGGTCAAAGTCTTTCAGAAATATATTAAAATCTTCCATAAAAATATCACAAGAGAAGCGCCATGTTTGCAATAGCACTTTTATCACAAAATTGAACGCACTGCGAGTTCAAGCTTTCAATTTGATACGCTAGTCAAACTACGCCAAAAATATTCACATCTCTATATATAACCCCTCCAGGCTCCATTAATGCACAATTGAAATGATAGTAATTTTTGGGGGGAAAACCTGAATATAATTTACATGGTGGGGTGGCATTACCATCGGTAATTAGTATTGTACTAATTATATTATAGTAATAATTGTACAGATATAGTTGTGCACATCATCATCCTAGCGACCTTGATCATCGATACAATAGAGCAGCTACCGAGACGAATGCTATTCATGATCACTAAATGCGATCACTAATTGCACTAATTCGATCATTAATATCACTAACGCGATCTTAAATCGCATCAATATGACCATTATTCGCACGATCACTAATTGCATTATTACGATACACGATCAATAGCTTCCCATGGCAATGTAATGTGCAAGGATTTCATCAATAAATGTTTCACATCAAATTGTTATTACGCTAGCAAAAGCACAACTTGATCACTGTGCAACTATGAACTAACACATGAATAAAATATATATTTCTATACATAAAATGAGCATCAGAGTGAAACTTTTAATCAATGTCCAGTGTGTGAGGACGTTCTCAATCAATTGAACACTCAACGTCTTGACTCTCAGTGAACGCTCTTTATAGAACACTCAACATCTTGACTCTCAGTGAACGTTCTTACAGAACACTCAACGTCTTGACTCTCAGTGAACGCTCCTTACAGAACACTCAACGTCTTGACTCTCATTGTACGCTCTTAACTGAACACTCAACGTCTTGACTCTCAGTGTACGCTCTTTACTGAACACTCAACGTCTTGACTCTCAGTGTACGCTCTTTACAGAACCTCAACGTCATGAAAATAAATTCAAATCAAGTTCAACACGAAAAATAACCTGTCAAAAATGCATACTCATATTCTTACGAAATCTAAATATGAGAATTTCTCACTTAATCCTAACAAATATTTGGACACAATGCAGTACAGTGATTATGACATCAGCCGAAGACGTGATTTGTAGCAGCGCATTAATTAAGGACACAACAATTGATAATAATTGAGTGTGCATAATTATTTGCATCTTAAGATTGTAATCCAAGAGTATGATTAAATACTCAACTGGTCAACCAACGACTAGATTCGAATATTAAATGTTAAACTTAATCTTGACATGATAAACTTCAAATTAGGTTGTGAATTAACAACGCTGTTATACCGGTCATATATCAATCAGTATTTATATACGTACAATGGAACTGCACATAGCTAAAATATGATCCCCACCGACTGATTCGATTAGTTAGAGTCTAAGTTTCAAGTGCATAATCAAAATTGATTTAAAATAAATAAAATAAAGCCTGATTTCCATTTTAGTCATTTTAACCATAAAACCGATTCATAGACATTAACTAACGTCTCATAACAACAAAAAATTTGCGTGTTGGTGCATCAAAACACAAACATCCATTAAAATATTGAGTATTGGTACTGAAGGTGTGTCGTGGGTTGCCTGCCATCTTGTGAGATGAGGGCAAGCGTTGAAGTTCACCCGACGAAAGCGTGATAATCTTCTTTAAGATACCCCAACTGCCCGAATATCCTGGAAGAAAAAAAATATTACCTAAAAAATTAAAGTAGCTATAGAGCAGTGCAAACTATCAAGCCCGAACTGTGCGAATATCCTGGAAAAAACATCACCTTAAACAAGAAAGTTGTTAGAAACTTGAAGCAGAGAAAATTTTCAAGCAGGTAACCTAGTTCCTGGAATATCTTGAAAGAAAAAAAAACTTAAATACCTGAGTAGCTATAAACTTAAAAGCTTGGGAAAAAAAATTTTGGGAAAAAAATAATTCGGTAAAATTTTTCGAGTATGAAGATTTATTTTCAACGTGGTACATAACTATTATCTTCAAATTTAAAAACCCCCGATAAGAACACAAAAAATCGGAAATAATTTTTCCTTGCAAATAAACTGCCTTCAGATTTTGTGTGCATGTTTATCCCAACAAACACCACAGTCCCCCCTGATCAAGGGGACTATGAAGACCGAACTGTTCAAAGTTAACTGTAAAGAACTAACTGTGTAGAGTTAACTGTGAAGCACTAACTGAGTAGAGTTAACTATAGAGAACTAACTGTGTAGAGTTAACTGTAGAGAACTAACTGTGTAGAGTCAACTGTAGAGAATTAACTGTGTAGAGTTAACTGTAGAGAACTAACTGTGTGGAGTTAACTGTAGAGAACTAACTGTGTAGAGTTAACTGTAGAGAACTTACTGTGTAGAGTTAACTGTTGAGAACTAACTGTGTAGAGTTAACTGTTGAGAACTAACTGTGTAGAGTTAACTGTGTAGAGTTAACTGTAGAGAACTAACCGTGTAGAGTTAACTGTAGACAACTATCTATTTAAAGTTAACTGTGAAGAACTAACTGTGTAGAGTTAACTGTAGAGAACTAACTGTGTAGAGTTAACTGTAGAGAACTAACTGTGTAGAGTTAACTGTAGAGAACTAACTGCGTAGAGTTAACTGTGGACAACTATCTACTTAAAGTTAACTGTAAAGAACTAACTGTGTAGAGTTAAAGTTAACTGTAAAGAACTATCTATCTAAAGTTAACTGTAAAGAACTTTCTATTTAAAGTTAACTGTAAAGAACTATCTATTAAGAGTTAACTGTGAAGAACTATCTAATTAAAGTTTACTGTAAAGAACTATCTAATTAAATATAACTGTAAAGAACTATCTAATTAAAGTTAACTGTAAAGAACTATCTATTTAAAGTTAACTGTTAATAACTAACTGTGTAGAGGCGTCGGTGAAGCCCTTTGGTCCGCAGACGGCGAGGACGACGCAGCGGCCGCCGTCACCGACGGGCAGGAGAGGCTCGAGGAGCCGCAGGGAGACGCGCCCCCTCAGCCCTCCCCACCCCGGCCCCCCACACGACAGCACGTGGTGCACCTGGTGGTGTAGGGGGCAGTTAGTGGTGCACCTGGTGGTGTAGGGGGCAGTTAGTGGTGCACCTGGTGGTGTAGGAGGCAGTTAGTGGTGCACCTGGTGGTGTAGGAGGCAGTTAGTGGTGCACCTGGTGGTGTAGGAGGCAGTCATCGAGCCGTGAATGATCTGATAAGGAAGCTATCAATTAAAACTTCTGCATGAATAAGGATTATGATGAACATGTAATTAAATGTAAGAAGAAAGATGTAGAAGAATGAAAAAATTGATTATATCAGCGAATAACAATAAATTAGCAACTCAGGAGAACCAACAGTAATCAGTAAAACAGAAGAAATCAACAGGTCGGAGAACAGAAGTATCAACAACTCGTACTGAACCTGGGTTCACAGGGCTGGCCGTGCAGCCTCACCTGAAGAAGTTCGCTGTTCTCTGCTCTGAGATTATCAAGTTCATCTCGCCAAGGTATATCTTCTTCTGTCTTGTTGAAGAAAAGCAGTCGAACGCGCCTGAGAAATGTAGAACGATTGAAGATTTCGGTCAATTCAACCCTTTGTCGGCAGATGTATTAACCGCTATAGTTTTTATTAAAATATAAAGCCTTAAGCAAAGTTTGCCATTAGTAGACCAAAGATAAAAGGCTGTACAGACTAAAATAAATTTACAGCAAATTAACGTCTCCTACATTGCTCATTTCAATTGTTCACAGGGCTGGCCGTGCAGCCTTACCTGAAGAAGTTCGCTGTTCTCTGCTCTTAAATTATCAAGTTCATCTCGCCAGGGTATATCTTCTTCTGTCTTGTTGAAGAAAAGCAGTCGAACGCGCCTGAGAAATGTAGAACGATTGAAAATTTCGATCAATTCATCCCATTGTCGGCAGATGTATTAACCGCTATTTCTTACATTAAAAGCTAAAGCCCTAAACGAAGTTTGCCATTAGTAGACCAAAGAAAAAACGCTGTACAGACTAAAATAAATTTACAGCAAATTAACGTCTCCTACATTGCTCATTTCAATTGAGACATGAGGAAGGTATATTTTAGAAACATTCTTTAAACCCTAAGTAAAGAACAGAAAATAATAAAAATTTCTAATAATTTCATATGAAAAAATGTTATTTATTTTTTAAATCAAGTATAAAAAACACGACTGGCACGAAATCGAGTCGTAAAGAACGTTGTTTAATCAAATCAACACGTAACCAAAGTTGTTTAACGTGATCAACACGTAATAAATGTTATTTAATGAGGTCAGCACGTAAACAATACTGTTTTAACTAAATAACCATGTAATCCACCTAGTTTGAACGTCATTTGATTGGAAGGTCAGGTTTCATCAATCCCATAGGTCCGTGCCACAGGCATATGACGTTGAAACAACGTTTACTCAACGTTAATTCAATAAAACAACGTTTACTTAACATCAATTCAACAAAACAACGTTTACTTAACGTTAATTCAACAAAACAACGTTTACTCAAAGTTAATTCAACGAAACAACGTTTACTCAAAGTTAATTCAATGAAACAATGTTTACTCAAAGTTAATTCAACGAAACAACGTTTACTTAACATCAATTCAACAAAACAACGTTTACTTAACGTTAATTCAACAAAACAACGTTTACTCAAAGTTAATTCAATGAAACAATGTTTACTCAAAGTTAATTCAACAAAACAACGTTTACTTAACGTTAATTCAACAAAACAACGTTTACTTAAGGTTAATTCAATAAAACAACGTCAAGTTTAACATTAGCTCAACGCCAGCAGGGGCCATACTTTTAAAACTTGCAAGTGAACGTAAGTACTTACGCTCTATTTTCTTGTCTATGATTGGTGGATTTTGTTTGAAATGCAGTCAATGACTGGCTGATGAACTTCCGATCTCTTAACTTTTTTGAAAGTATAGGCCCAGATCTCTGATGGTAGGTGAACCAGCACCTCTTAAGAGCGAGGGAGTCGAGCATGACGGATATCATAGGAGTTGACAATCACATCACGCGACCCAAACCTCGTCATCGAATTCAACGAGAAAACGTTTACTCAACGTTAATTAAACGAAAAAACGTTTACTCAACCTCCTAAGAGCGAGGGAGTCGAGCATGACGGATATCATAGGAGTGATGCCGGTGCCTGCCGCTAGGAGGGCGACGTCTCCTACAGGAGCATCGCCAGAGTCCTGTATCTCCCTGACACCCTCCCCTTCCCCTCTAGACAGGCGCTCGACAGGGACTCCTTCTGCCAGGGACACCAGGTGGTGTGATCCTGGTAGTGGTCGAGGACGTCCTGAGGTGAACCAGAGGCGGCTGTGGTGCTGGAACAGCTCCTCGACTGAGTACAGTGGCAGGTGATACACCTGCACACATAAAACTCATGGTTATATTGTCCAAATAATGACACTGTTTAGGCATACGAGGAGCTGACTCATGTCACCGTCGGGATACAACTACACATATAAAAATCATGGCTTATATTGTCCAAATATTGACACTTTTTACCCATAGCGTGAGCAGAGAGCGGCCGTAGCACTGATACGTCCTTTTGATACGTCTTTTTTTCATATTTCAGTTTGCTTAGTTATTTTTGCACAGTTATTTTTATGTTTCACCTTCCCTATATGGATGTCTACTTTAATCTACCAATCTCAAAAATAATCCACATATACATATACAGATAAAAGACTGATTTTTTATATGTATATGAGGATAATTTTTGAGATTGGTAGATTAAAGCAGACATCCATGTAGGACAGGTAAAACATAAAAATAACTAACTTTTATTTACTGTATCTAACCAGTAATATTACGGTTAGGTTAATTGCAATAAAATTGCACTGATATGTTTTGAAAATGTTACGTACCTATATTACCATTAAATGTTTATGAGTAAATCCCAATAGCAGAACAATAAATATTTAGAGATTTCCAATAATTTTGGTCATTGTAGCGGCTAATGTAGCGGCGCTACATTTTACTGTAGCGGTTTCGGTAGCGCCCGCTACATTTAGAGCATGCAGCGGTAGCGGTAGCGCCGCTACATTTCAAAGTAGCGCTGCCCAGCTCTGATGACACTAAAATATATGACATAAACATGACTATAAGATATGACATATACATGACTATAAGATATGACATAACCATGTATATATAAACCTTGACGAGATAGTGGAGGCAGTTGCCAGGTGTCGCCACGTCGCTGGTCCAGGCGGCGACGCTGAGCTCCTCAGGCACGGCGGTGTAAGGCTTGCTTATGGCCGCTGCACAGTTTACATTATATTCAATATAATCCAAATAATAAAGTAATATAATATACTCAATGTTTCATAAGATATATCATCATTATTATGCATTACTATTCACTCAATGAATTATAGATGAAGTGAAGATATTGATTTTGAATATACTTGTCAAAGTTTGTTTGCAGACTTGAATTTTAAATATTACCCTGAGGCATGTATGGTACCCCGCAGGTACAGGCAGGTACTAACCGTAGGAAGGTACCCTGAGGTATGTGTGGTACCCTGCAGGTACAGGCATTACTCGCGCTGTAATAAATAGTACATGCGCTGTAATAAATGGTACTCGCGCTGTAATAAATGGTACTCGCGCTGTAATAAATGGTACACGCGCTGTACCATTTATAATAGAATACTCTTACAATTAATTAAGTAATTAATGATAATTAAGTAATACAATTTATAACACAATACTACTGTACTGTTTTTAATACAATACATATGACCAGCTGCTTTATTCAATGCTACATCCCAACAGATGATCACGTCAATTAAATGTATAGTCATATATATGACTCAACATTAAATCATTACCTTAGCCCTTATTGACCTTTTCTGTGAGAGAACGGGACTTGTTTTGGCATGATAATCTAAACAAAACAGCATTTCATAACCACGTAGTAATCGCTAATGTTGTTTTAGCCATTATGTTATCGTCAGTCCTTACAGAGCCTGCAATCTACAAGCTCATCAGATGAATTAGAATTGACATGTCTGTGGGATTATTTAGTTTAAATAAAGCTTCTTGAAGGCATTTGAAATTGTAAAGACGTTCAAAATATATTATACTAGTGTTCGATATGAAGCGTTTGAAGCCATCCACCTTATAGTCTGAGATTAGTTTCAATGTTTATCAGTATATGTAATTTGGCAGAACATATTTCGTGGAGCCATTTCAATTATTAAGATCAAAAATCTTTAATTTTCTCCAAAAAATCAAACGAGTTTTCTCGCAGACATTTGTAGACCAAAAGTCAAGCTTCTGTTTTATTTTATTTAACTCCAGCTTGACGTTAGCAACAGACTTTAATCTCACCGCCATCGTCTCGACATCAACGAAGTCTTCGTTGCCAGGCAGCGCGAGGCCGATGTTGGTCCATCTGATGCCTTCTTCTACCTTCATCACCTCGATGGTGACTGTACCACATCCACCACCACCCACCCGTACCTGTACATCATGGTTCAAGGCAAGGTATTCAATACGAACTCACGGTTAACTTCTGGGCACTTTATACATCAAGATGGGGAAATAAGTGGATTTAAAATAATTGTAAATAAATTAAAGCGGGTTTTAATTACAGGGAAAAAGTCCTTAGCTCACAAAAAAATGTGCTGAATGCAAGACTTGCAAAGAATTCATCATTCAGAAACTCCATTATCTCGAAATTGTTGCCGCTGGTAAATCAAAGCCCTCATCATTCCTACTCTTAACACCATTCTTACTCTAGCACCATTCTTACTCTAGCACCATTATTACTCTAGCACCATTCTTACTCTAGCACCATTATTACTCTAGCACCATTCTTACTCTAGCACCATTCCTCTGTCACTAATATCATTATCACTGATGCTATAGTATCATTATCAACTCACTGTAAACTGTCCCTGCTTGACTGGTCTGCTGAGGTCGAGCCGTAGTCTGTAACACCTCCGCTGCACCAGCAGGTCTACACTCAATGTCTGTAACCAAATAAAACTTTACAATCACGTAAACATTACAAATAGTTACGAGTTTGTAACTACGTCAGCCAATTACTGATGGATTTCCAAGCTAAACACGCCAATCATAGACGAGAAATCGGTCGCTATGGGTACTTGGGCCGCTATGTTTACTTAGCCGTTACGTGTACTTAGGCCGCTATATGTACTTGAGAGTGAGTTTTAATAGAACGGAGCCTGGTTCTTAAGCAAATTATGAAGCCAAAACAGAGTCTAGGGCATCAAGAGAGACAGCAAAACATTTTGCCTTTCATTGTGAACTAGCACTTTTCCCCTTATGCCCAGGATCGATAATACCATCAATTTTATTATACTGTTATGCCGAATCCCGTTGATAAAAATGAAATTAATGTATGCTCGCTAAAAAAGCCACCCGTTCATAGCCACATTATACAAAAAATATAGAATTCATACTCAACCCTCGTTTAAAATTATAGAACAATATATCTGTTTAAATATGTTTATTTACACCAATTTAAGAAAAAAACTTCAATTTTTGATCTAATAATTTTCTTTATACATACACATTATGATCAATAGACAAATGGATACATAAGATTATACAAGAATAATACCTACGAAGGAACAGCAGGATAAATTGATAAATTCCTGAAACTGTATTATAAACAAACGTCAGAAGCTTCATGCGAACCTTGTTTTTGAGATGAACTGTACAGTGGCGATGTGTGATCCGCGGCCAGCGACTGTACACCGTGACTGTGACGGCTGTATTGCTCTGGTACCAGTCGTACGAGGGCTGCCGGGCCTCTACAGTCCCTGTGTGGTGGACAGTCAGCGGGAATTATACAGACTGTGTTGCTGACAGTCAGCGGGAATAATACAGACTGAGTTAAGCCACCATCCATAAAAGATTCAATGACAGAGAATTGCCTGTATTTTACAGATATATATAATCGAAGAAAGACATAAGAGCAAGAGATGCATATATACAGGCAAAGCTATAAAAGCCATCACTACAATACACTCATACATTCATAATGATTGTTCACCGGACTTGATATCTTCGCATATATCATACAGACACTCACAATTAAATCCCCTTAACGCTAGATTAACTCAATCATGGAACTAATGAAACATTGTGCCTTGCAATAGCACTGACGTATTTTCAAGATATAACCACCAATCACAGACGAGAAAATAGCCGCTACGCGCACTTAGGCCGCTGCATGTACTTAGGCCGCCACATGTACTCAGGTCGCTACGTGTACTTAGGTCGCTGCGTGTATTGAGGTCGCTGCAGGTATTTAGGCCGCTACGTGTATTCAAGTCGCTATGTGTACTTAGGTCGCTATGTGCACTAAGGCCGCTGCATGTACTTAGGCCGCAATATGTACTCGGGTCGCTACGTGTACTTAGGCCGCCAGGTGTACTAAGAACGCTAGGTGTACTAAGGCCGCTACGTTTACTTAGGCCGCTGCGCTTAATTGAGCAAGTTTTAATAGTACGACCCCTCGGCTACAAATAACGAAATCAAAATAATAACCTTTAAATTAAAAATGGGAATAATACAGTCTGTGTTGCTGACTATCATTGGGAATAATACAGACTGTGTGGTGGAGAGTCAGCGGGAATAATACAGTCTGTGTTGCTGACAGTCAGCGGGAATAATACAGTCTGTGTGGTGGAGAGTCAGCGGGAATAATACAGACTGAGTTAGACCACCATAAAAGATTTGATGACACAGAAATGTCTGTATTTCACAGATATACTACTATTATAATCGAAGAAAGACATAAGAGTATGAGATGCATGTATACAGGCAAAGCTATAAAAGCCTTCAATTTTGTCTGCTTATATACTTTCATCATGATTGTTCACCGGAGCTAATATATTCGCATATATCATAATGACAATCATAACTATAGCCCCTCAACGCTAGATTAACTCAATCCTGGAACTAATGAGGCGTTGAGCCATGCAAAAGCACTGACGTATTTTCAAGATATAGCCAAAAATCACAGACGAGAAAGTAGCCGCTACGCGCACTTAGGCCGCTGCATGTACTTAGGCCGCCACATGTACTCAGGTCGCTACGTGTACTTAGGTCGCTGCAGGTACTTAGGTCGCTGCATGTACTTAAGCCGCCACATGTACTCGGGTCGCTACGTGTACTTAGGCCGCCAGGTGTACTAAGAACGCTAGGTGTACTAAGGCCGCTACGTTTACTTAGGCCACTACGTTTACTTAGGACGCTGCGCTTAATTGAGCAAGTTTAAATAGTATGACCCCTCGGCTACAAATAACGAAATCAAAATAATAACCTTTAAATTAAAAAACAATGTAAAATTCAAAGTCTTAAATAACGTCAATACAAATGAGGCAGTAAAGCGCCTACCGCACGACTGGGTGGGCGACAGCGGAGGCAACTTAGGCACCGTGTCGTCTTTGGTCGACCGGGACGGAGACTTGCCTCTGCCTGTGTAATTAAATAAAAATCAAAACCTAAATACATATAATAATTTGTGTAAGCTTTATAACTATCATCACTCAACACAGCTTGTTTCAAAACTATTACGTTTGCCAATAGAATATATTTAAGATGTTGGAATGTATGCCAATTGTTGAGCTGTTAGTTACTTAGTGAGAAACGTAAGGCAAGTATCATGAAGACTATGAAGACATGAGGCAAGTATCATGAAGACTATGAAGACATGATACATTCAACAATATCAACAAATCTATACACCAGGAGATATTCAACAAGCAACAAGCCAACAAAATTATCTATACACCAGAAGACATTCAACAAGCTATACTTCAGAAACCAAAGCCAGATATTTGCATGCTGTACAGAAAATAATGCCATCAAAGAACAATTTCTTTATTATTTTATTTATATTATATATTATTATATTTATTTTGCAGCAGAAACCAGACTGAACTTGGGACCAAATAAATAAACAACGTTAAAAGAAGCGACTACGATCCCGTATATCTTGGACTGAAATAAGGCCTATTAAGATTGCTAATACTATTGTAAAAAATGCAACATATGAAACGTAACGTCTTGCAGTTTGCACGCTTATTGTTTGTGATCATGACTGTTAATTTCATTATTAATTAGAATGTAACCTGATGAATAGCATTAATAAGGTGCGCTTCTAGACTGCATCAAACTATTTGTTGGATAAGCCCAAGTAAAGTACAGCAATATTGGACTGATGAGAACCTGAGTAACCTTTGAATTTGTTAACGGGAGTCGAAATAAGAACCTGAGTAACCTCTTACATTTGTTAACGGGAGTCGAAATAAGACCTGAGTAACCTCTTAAATTTGTTAACGGGAGTCGAAATAAGAACCTGAGTAACCTCTTAATTTGTTAACGGGAGTCGAAATAAGACCTGAGTAACCTCTTAAATTTGTTAACGGGAGTCGAAATAAGAACCTGAGTAACCTCTTAAATTTGTTAACGGGATTTGAAATCAGAACTTGAGTAACCTCTTGAATTTGTTAACGGGAGTCGAAATAAGAACCTGAGTAACCTCTTAAATTTGTTAACGGGATTTGAAATCAGAACTTGAGTAACCTCTTAAATTTGTTAATGGGAGTCGAAACCACATATGAACGTTTTTACAGATAGGGAGCAGATGACATCACATTAAACACCACATTGCATGGTTTTTTGTGTGGATCCACGCACACAGGGAAATCATAATAATAAATGTCGTGATACCACAAGGTATGATTAGTGCAAGCAATCTGTGCGGAAACATATATAGGGCCAGAGAAGTTTTCACGCATATGAGACATTAATGTGATAGATCACAGGGACAGCGGGGCCTAACTGGGTCATGTTTGGCCCTTTTGCTGGGCCAAACTGGGTCGAGATGACCCACACAAAACACTTAAAAGTGCATCACTTTTTAGAAAAACGTCTTGCTCACTTCTCAGAGTGCGGTGTCGAGGCTTGCGAGCAAAACGTGAATAATAATAATGTAATATGGAATGAAATGCCAATAAGGGCCTCACCCTCGGTTAGTAACCTAGCGAAGGAGTTGAGGAGAGGAAGGAAGGCTTCCTGGGGCTTACGTAGGACTTTGCTGCAGGATGTAGGAGAGTCCTCAACCAGATGTCCTACCAGGCACTTGGCCAGCATGCTCTCGAAGTTAACCCACTTGTGCACCTGTACGAGATATGGCGTTTTAATCTCAAGATTAGACTCAAAATGCTCAAGAACTAAAGGATGAAATTAGTGAAATTCAAGGATGAAATTAGTGAAATTCAAGGATGAAATTAGTGAAATTCAAGGATAAAGTTAGTGAAATGAATTCTAAGTTGTCTAATCCAGGTTTTAAAACCTAACCCATGGTTTTAAAAACCATAGAATGGGGGTTTTTCGGGGTTTTAAAACCAAATATCATTGAATAATTTGGTAAACAGTGGAAATGATAACAGTTATAGCGAGCTTATTGATTCACACACTCATTAACTTCACCCACTAATGCACAATGGATCACATAATACGTAAGCCTTAATTTCGCGTTTTGGTCGCCAGATTGAATTGCAAGAATAATATCTGCACACACTTAAAGTTCACCCATTTATGCCCCTAAACAAAATACGTCAGACAATAGCAAGATTAGGTAGGATCCACGCAACCATTAAGTTCACCCATACCGCCATACGTGAACTTCCACAAAATAAGCAAGTGGCAATTACAAAATTAGGATCCACACAAAAACGATTAAAAGTTGTCTCGGTAATTATTTAATTAATGTTTACTTTATTTCTGTACAAGAACCATGACCTCCGTAATACACTTGTGCGCACAAATGTTCCGTAATTGTTACATAAAAATGTATTGCTGCTGATCCATAATTTTGTTTGAAATAATAGGGAACAGTTTAATAATTGCGTTGTCACAAATTACTGACACCGATTCTTTACTATTGAATTCTGGGTCACGTAAGGATAATTCATCATCTCAATTATTTATCGATCAATGTCTATGATTGCTGAACTAAAGCAGATGCCAGACTCGACGCACCTAAAGCTTCGTAATTATTGCAAGCCAAACATTTCATTTCATTCATTTTCATACTTAATATGTATAAGCCAAAAGTTTCATAACATTGCTGCCCAATAACACCGGTGACTTCGTCATGTCGAAACACGCGTCTCATTTCCAAAATTACAGTGTTCCTGTCATATTTTAATAATAAACCTATATTATAATATACAGAATTCCCGTGTGTTTCCATAAAGTAAATATATAAAATTTTAATGATAATGATTTTACCATATCAAACTTTAATTATAAACCTTTAACAAATAATAATCTCCAGAATTACCGTGTATACACGCGCAACACATCTCATTTCAGAACCGCTGCGTGAATTTCCCGCTGATTATTCACATTCATTATTGAGATTTATATTCATCATACATGCACGCACCTCATTGAAGAGCTCCGTGGCGTCTCTGCCGATGCCGCGGCTGAGCTCGTCTTCACCGCCAGGATGATACTCGAAATATGGCGTCACGTTGTACACTTTACCTGACAATTGTAATGATAATTACTGTAATTTGTTACATTTGTTGTACACTTTACCTGACAATGTTTCTCGCCGACATCGTCTCGCAGGCACGCAGACAGCGGTCTCGCTGTCACGCAGACGGCGGTCTCGCAGGCACGCATATGGCGGTCTCGCAGGCCCGCAGACGGCGGTCTCGCAGGCACGCAGACGGCGGTCTCGCAGGCACGCAGACGGCGGTCTCGCTAGCCCGAAAACGACGGTCTCGTAGGCACGTAAGCAGCGGTCTCGCTGACATCATTGCAGCATATACTATATACAGCGTCCATTGGTTATTCAATCTAACAAATATTTTACGAGTATTGCGACGTGATACTGAGAGTAGAACTAAGTTAGTACTTACATCACAGTGGTACTGAGAGTAGAACTAAGTTAGTACTTACATCACAGTGGTACTGAGAACACACTTGTACAATGAACACACAACGTAGAACACACACACTTGTACAATGAGTAGAACTATCACTTTATTGCGTGTAGGCACATTCCAGCACGGAATGAAAATCAGGAAATAGGCAATCTGTATAATCACGCATTCCACCACACTAGGACCATCACCAGCTCCTGCAGGACTCCACTTGGTCTCCGCCGACACCACGACCTTGTCGAGGAGCTGACTCATGTCACCGTCAGGATACACCTGCACACATGAAAATCATGGGTAATATTGTCCAAATATTGACACTTTTTACTCAGCGTGAGCAGAGAGCGGACTTAGCGCTGACACGTCCTTCTGCCGGACTAAACTGGGTCGGGATACCTGAACAAAGTCTCACTTATTTTTCTGAGTGTGCGAACGTCATTCAATATTGATGTAGCATGACGACGAAAATACCAAGAGTCAATACAAACTAATATTAATAATAGTAATAATATTAAAAACTATAAAAACTCGTCCAATTACACGGGCCGGCCGATTTCTTGTTCATCATTGGTAGGTTTAGCTTGATCGGCTGATGGAGTTAAGCATACTTATAATATAAATAACATAAATAGTTATGAGCTTGTAAGTATTTCTGATACTATACTACCACAGGTTCACAGCGGTCAGGAGACAACAAGCAAGGTTCAGAATTGAGTAATAAAGGGCACATGTATAAATCAGGTTATTATGTCGTTCAAATAATCGTTATTAATAGTTCAAACAATCTTCATTATGTTGATCAAAAAGTCACGTGTATAAATAAGTAACTAAGGCTTGATCAATAGAACAAAAACTATAATGAAGTGCAGGAATGACATCACTAAATGTTTCAAAACAAATAAAACATTCTAATACGAAATAATTCAGACACCATCGCCGATCCATGAGTTGTTGTGGATGAAAATTCAGTGCATATTCAATGAACATAGCGCACTCTACAGACAGCAAGCTCAATAAACAGTGACTATGCTATTATATGCTGAACTTATGAATCACATTATTTGCTGAACATAAGCATATAGGTAAGATACATTATTTATGACACTATAAGGTGAGATAAACATGGATAAACATATATGACAGTATAAAAATTAGATATACATGGATAAACATATCACACTATAAGGTGAAATAAACATGGATAAACATATAAAGGATGAAATTAGTGAAATTCAAGGATGAAATTAGTGAAATTCAAGGATAAAGTTAGTGAAATGAATTCTAAGTTGTCTAATCCAGGTTTTAAAACCTAACCCATGGTTTTAAAAACCATAGAATGGGGGTTTTTCGGGGTTTTAAAACCAAATATCATTGAATAATTTGGTAAACAGTGGAAATGATAACAGTTATAGCGAGCTTATTGATTCACACACTCATTAACTTCACCCACTAATGCACAATGGATCACATAATACGTAAGCCTTAATTTCGCGTTTTGGTCGCCAGATTGAATTGCAAGAATAATATCTGCACACACTTAAAGTTCACCCATTTATGCCCCTAAACAAAATACGTCAGACAATAGCAAGATTAGGTAGGATCCACGCAACCATTAAGTTCACCCATACCGCCATACGTGAACTTCCACAAAATAAGCAAGTGGCAATTACAAAATTAGGATCCACACAAAAACGATTAAAAGTTGTCTCGGTAATTATTTAATTAATGTTTACTTTATTTCTGTACAAGAACCATGACCTCCGTAATACACTTGTGCGCACAAATGTTCCGTAATTGTTACATAAAAATGTATTGCTGCTGATCCATAATTTTGTTTGAAATAATAGGGAACAGTTTAATAATTGCGTTGTCACAAATTACTGACACCGATTCTTTACTATTGAATTCTGGGTCACGTAAGGATAATTCATCATCTCAATTATTTATCGATCAATGTCTATGATTGCTGAACTAAAGCAGATGCCAGACTCGACGCACCTAAAGCTTCGTAATTATTGCAAGCCAAACATTTCATTTCATTCATTTTCATACTTAATATGTATAAGCCAAAAGTTTCATAACATTGCTGCCCAATAACACCGGTGACTTCGTCATGTCGAAACACGCGTCTCATTTCCAAAATTACAGTGTTCCTGTCATATTTTAATAATAAACCTATATTATAATATACAGAATTCCCGTGTGTTTCCATAAAGTAAATATATAAAATTTTAATGATAATGATTTTACCATATCAAACTTTAATTATAAACCTTTAACAAATAATAATCTCCAGAATTACCGTGTATACACGCGCAACACATCTCATTTCAGAACCGCTGCGTGAATTTCCCGCTGATTATTCACATTCATTATTGAGATTTATATTCATCATACATGCACGCACCTCATTGAAGAGCTCCGTGGCGTCTCTGCCGATGCCGCGGCTGAGCTCGTCTTCACCGCCAGGATGATACTCGAAATATGGCGTCACGTTGTACACTTTACCTGACAACCGTACCGGTAATTACTGTAATTTGTTACATAGGTAATTTCTTGTACACTTTACCTGGCATCTGGGTTAATATAATTACTCACATGTGCTACGTAATTTGTACGCCTTATTAGACGTTCATAAGATAACGCAACATCGTAATTAAAGTTGGCATGAGATTTAAAATGACATGTTACTAATGTTTTCCAAGTGCGAAGCTCAATTGATGTCGACAATATTAGCCAAATGTTCGAGACAGAGAGCAATTCAGATCCTAGAGCAACAAAAACCAGTTCTTTAGAAATAAAAAGATAATTCTTTCTCATGCGAATCTAATTAGCCTTAGTTAACTTATTCCCTTGCATCAGTTTCATACGAGTAACTAGGAAAAATTCAACACCTAAACAAATAGCATGATTCGCTTCTGAATCATTGCTCAGTACAAACTCTACTGAACAACTGGGGTTAACAAATAGATAATTTTGACAAAGATGTCAAAAAAAACGAGGCCATTACTGACCTCTAAGAGCCAGCCAGGCATCAGTCCTGGTGTTGTGCTTAGCGAGCTGCCGGGGCGTGACCTGCAGCAGTCGCCCCCCGGTGCCCGCGAGGTCAGGTTGTGTGTGTCCCAGCCGCACCCAGTCCATCAGGCCACGCCCTTTGCGGAGTGCCACCTTGTTGCGCGGGTTCCCTGCGTCAACATTATGTCAGAATAAGGAATTTTTCTTAATATACTTCAGAATGTTATGTACGTACAATTCAATGTAGAAGTTATAATAGTTGTGTTAAGTTCAGCAATATAAGTGATATAGTATTTCGTTGGTAGACAGATTCAATTTATACTACCTGCAGAATTTCCTAGTTAGGTAAAATTAAAATCCTTTGTTGGTGGACAGTTTCAACGCTTAATGCGCAGCAGGATTTCGTTCTGTCAGTACTGGTTCAACATGATTGACACACAAGCAGATTGAACTTAATTGACTTCCAAACAAATATAATTCAAATATAATCGTGAAAAGCATACCGATTACATCAGTTGTTGGGTAGACGCGCTGCGGCCTAAACAAAATGCAGCAATTCCGTTCCANAGTGGTACTGAGAGTAGAACTAAGTTAGTACTTACATCACAGTGGTACTGAGAGTAGAACTAAGTTAGTACTTACATCACAGTGGTACTGAGAGTAGAACTAAGTTAGTACTTACATCACAGTGGTACTGAGAGTAGAACTAAGTTAGTACTTACATCACAGTGGTACTGAGAGTAGAACTAAGTTAGTACTTACATCACAGTGGTACTGAGAGTAGAACTAAGTTAGTACTTACATCACAGTGGTACTGAGAGTAGAACTAAGTTAGTACTTACATCACACTGGTACTGACAGTAGAACTAAGTTAGTACATACATCACTGTGGTACTGCGTGTAGAACTAAGTTAGTACTTACATCACAGTGGTACTGAGAGTAGAACTAAGTTAGTACTTACATCACAGTGATACTGCGTGTAGAACTTAGAACACACATACTTGTACAATGAGTAGAACTATCACTTTATTGCGTGTAGGTACATTTCAGCACGGAATGAAAATCAGGAAATAGGCAATCTGTATAATCACGCAGCCCACTTTTTGATTCCATACATAATTATAAAAATCAACAATTTGGAAATCGATATAGTACAGGTGTTTCTTCAAAATGAAGTACTTAATTTTTTCAATATTTTCATCATTCAAAATGAAGTATATCATTTTTTTAAATATTTCCATCAGTTTGGTATGTTGAGTTCAAGATATACCAGTTGCAGAGGCCGTTGAAAGGCTGGCAGCAGTAAGGGAGTTCTTGGGCTTGTTGGCCGTGAAGACGGACGACTGGACGGGCGCTGGAGCAGCTAGAGAGTCCATCCTGGGGGTGATGCAGGCGCCAGGCAGAATGGGTTCACCTGGCGCAAAGAAAAATTATTCGATTGTTACTTTCATACAAATTTAATTCTATCTGATCAAATTTATATGTAATAACATCTAACAAGCAAAATTCAATTGTCACTTTTATGCAAATTTAATTCCATGTGATAAAATTTATCTGTATCAACATCTAACAAACAAAAATATTAATAATTTCCTATATACAAATTTTTATCAAGTAAAAAAGTACATCCATCATTTCTATTCTTCTTTGCAATTAATAATTCTAAACTTTTTTTAAGTGAAAGGAAAATGTATATACTCACTAAATGAAGCTGCAAGGGATGCAACAGGAGGTGGCAGCAAATTACTGAAACTTTGATCACTGCCAAAACTTTTCTGAGTCCCAGCTGCTCCACCAACATTATCAACAGTTTTAGACTTCTCCTCTGTAGGTGTGATAGTCACGCTGCACACAGGAGTTCTGTCACTTTCAGTTTCATCCACTGAAGTCATCTTGGCACACTTCACTAATTCAAGGTTTCTGAGATTACCATCAATTCAATACCTACTTTAGATGTACAATTGCCTAATTCTCAATTTAAAATCAATTTTACTCATTTTTATGATAAGAGAAATGAACCTGAAAGAAAAATTCATTTTAATAGGATGAATAGATACTTAATATTCCTCATGAAACAGCAGTAATCAATATTTACTCAGTTACAGTGGGTATATGAACTGTAATTTAAGAAGAAATCAGTGTATATAATTGTTCTAGTGTTCTAATATATTTATGATATTAGGGAAATTTAAAATTTATCCAAGAATTTAGTAATGGATTTTTACCTTTACTTACAAGTGAAAGAGAAAATAATACAAAGAATCTGCGACAGACCATATCAGGCCTATTGTTCAGTGCCAACATTACTATGCTATGCTATGCTATGCTAAAGCCACCATCTCTGTCACAGAGCAAATTTTCAAGTAGTGATATAGAACTCATTGTTAAACACACAACTTTATAGTCTTGAAGCAACAAGGGAGTGAAAGGACAAGGTTATGTAGCTCTTTATGATGACAAGTGGAACTTTAAAGATGGCATGGCAGAAAGCCCATCAAAAGCCTGACCCAAAATCAATTTTCAGAAACTTTATTTCTCTTTTTTGCTTTTTATATACCGTCAAACGGGGTAAAAAGGGACGAGCGAGGTAAATTGGGATGCGCATCCCACATTTCGTAGAAATGTTGTAGCAGCTAAACTAATCAAAATATTGCAACACTAAAAATAGTGGTGTAAACTTCAACATTTTTACTATCTATTATGTATAAAGCTAGTCAAAAAATCAAACATTTACTATCTCTAAAAAATTGCTGAAAAAAAGTGTGAAAAGTACGATTTTGGAGAAGTACCTCTGCTAAGGTCTGGAGCAAAAAAAAAAATATATTCTCCGTATTAAAAAATTTCACTTACACAAAAGTTGCACCCAGATGTCGGCTTGAAAACGGAATTAAACAAAAACATATGATGGTTGTCACTAAAACATTATTTTCTGTTTCAGGTATGTTTTTCACAATCTTTTTTGTTATAGTGAAACTACTTGACTCAATTAAAATTGGGCGAAATTACAAACCATCATGTAAGCTTACAGATATAGAAGAAATGCTACATGGCTGCTGATATGAAGCTTGCAGTGGACAAGGTCATTGTCAATGCTCAATGGCATGTCCATGGATACAGCAATATATATTACATTAATTATACGGTAATTAATGAATATGGTAATATAATATCAATAAAGGAAAAACAAAAAAAAATCACAGAAAATGTAATTTATTTTACACCTACATCATCTACAATGAAAGAGGACTTCAAAGTACTGTTAGTAATGCATGAGTACACTCTGCATGCTTCAAACGTTTCAAAATTAACTTTTATTGCAAGTGTCCCGGATTACCCCGTTCCCAGGGGTAAATCGGGATGGTTTTATTTTGCGTCTGGCACCTTACGAATAGCATATGGAATTCTTTTGAAGATGCCATTGGATAGCCCTTAAACTTCAACATTTTTACTATCTATTATGTATAAAGCTAGTCAAGAAATCAAAATTTACCTTCTCTAAAAAATCGCTGAAAAAAAAGTGTGAAAAGTGCGATTTTGGAGAAGTACCTCTGCTAAGGTCTGGAGCAAAAAAAAAATATTCTCCGTATTAAAAAATTTCACTTACATAAAAGTTGCACCCAGATGTCGACTTGAAAACGTAATTAACGGAATTTGCCTATCTCATTTCAAATAAAAATGGCAGCCATTTCCACATGGCAGGGAAACTCAGGACACCCCCCCGGGGTAATTAGGGACACCCTTAAAAATTAGGGGTAATTAGGGACACCCTTACAGTAGAACCTCAGTTAGCAAAGGTTCCAGTAAACAAAAAAATTTATTAACAACAAAGAATTTTGATTACATTTACCTTGCTCAGAAAAAAAAATTCACTTATCGAAAAATTAGTGCATCATCGGTCGTCACAAAATTGTACATAGAATGCTATATATAGAATTGTGCACTGGGCATCATAGAATGAAAAGTAATTGACCTAAACTATGATTTATTTCTCCAAAACATATGATGGTTGTCACTAAAACATTATTTTCTGTTTCAGGTATGTTTTTCACAATCTTTTTTGTTATAGTGAAACCACTCGACTCAATTAAAATTGTGAAAAATTACAAACCATCAAGTAAGCTTACAGATATAGAAGAAATGCTACATGGCTGCTGATATGAAGCTTGCAGTGGACAAGGTCATTGTCAATGCTCTATGGCATGTCCATGGATACAGCAATATATATTACATTAATTATACGGTAATTAATGAATATGGTAATATAATATCAATAAAGGAAAAACAAAAAAAAATCACAGAAAATGTAATTTATTTTACACCTACATCATCTACAATGAAAGAGGACTTCAAAGTACTGTTAGTAATGCATGAGTACACTCTGCATGCTTCAAACGTTTCAAAATTAACTTTTATTGCAAGTGTCCTGGATTACCCCATTCCCAGGGGTCAATCAGGACGGTTTTATTTTGCGTCTGGCACCTTACAAATAGCATATGGAATTCTTTTGAAGATGCCATTGGAAAGCCCTCGCAAAGAGCTATAAAATGAGCCTAAACTTGCTTCTGAAATGATTCATGGTAAGAAGTTATTAACAAAAAAACGCTCAAAACCATCCCTTTTTATCCCGTTTGACCGTACTAGCATTTTATATACGTACTAGCTACCAGTTATCCTTGTTTATTTCTGGTTTCACCAAATTTTGAATTTGTAGACTAAGAAAATTGCCAACATTACCCAATATATGTTGTTAGGGGCTGCAGTTTGGCAAATTAATTATTTATTGAGCATTTATTATTGTTTGAGCATTATAGCATTTATTATTGTTATTTCTCTTTCGTGTCCCCAGTGCCTTAACACTAAACAAGTGACACCTAGTAAAAGTTAAGTTATTGCATGTGAATGTGAAGCAGGGTTTTAGAGAGAGTCAGTTTTCCATAGTCCTGCATAACTTGCGCTCATACTGACCTGCTACTTACCCATGCTGACTGACCTGCTGTAAATGAACATGCTTTCTGTCTCTGACTACTGCCTGCTGATCTGTAACTAATCTACCCCAAGATTAACATGGCTCTTTATAGGTGAGTCAATGGAAGACTCTCATCATGCATCTCAGTCCTAAATTTATATGTAAATGTTTGAATATGTTGTCAATCATCCCTTTAAATTGTTCTAGAGTTTAGTAGTAGGTAGTTCAATGTGTATTTATGTGTTTCAAGTGTACTTATTGGTTCCAAGTGTTTTATTGTTGGGTAGGTTTCATGTGTTGTTCCTGCACTTTTGGAGAGTGGCAATTTGGAGCGTCTTCTGGGCCAGGTTGGGGCTAGTGGATCCCACACTGACCTGGGGACCAGGGCTTGGGTATCTCCCAGTTTACTCTAGACTATTTCTGTACCCTGCCAGTTGAGTCTCCCCCACTGCTTTTATGATTAATAAAAAGTGTGGAGTTGAAACCAGAACATAAATGGAAGACAGTTTACTACAGCAGGAACGCACAAACTTCAAGGTATGTGCTAGCCTTTTGTATTGTATGAAAAGGAGTGAATTGACAGTTTGACAATTGTGCATGCCCTGTACTCCAGGTGACCATTTATTCCTAGGAAGGTCTTGTAGATGAAGTTGGCTATTTCAACTCGGTTGAAAGATGAAGGTGACAATTCCAGTTCTCATGGGGTGCCAATGTAAGGTCAAGATGGCTGATGAAAATCCTCAAGAGATGCCAATGTAAGGTTGAGGTGGCTGATGAAGATGCTCCAAAAACGCCAATATCTTGAGCTGAGAGGCCCTACTTTCCAGCCTGGGGCACAGCTTGCTGCCGACACAACTGGCCCGCCTCTTTTGTTCATTTATGGTTGTGTGTAACTAACTTTTGTTTGCAAAGGTGCTAGTGTGTTGTGCGGCAGTCAGTCCCGGTTGGTCGGAGCAGAGAAAAGCATTGATCAGTCAAAATGTCATTAGACCATGTTCTTTTATTTATATTACCTATAGAATTCCACTAAGGACTTCACCAGGTTCAGTCCGTTCAGAGAGTAGTTATTTTTCTCACTAAGCAAATAACTTCAAATGGGCTTCCCTTACAACAAGAGCTTTTGAATGGTACTAAAATTGTTGAAATTGCCTGATAATTAAAATAATATAATTAAAATGATAATTATTAAATTGCCTGACAATTTAATAGAGTCAAACAACGAAAGTGAGATGTATATGTGGAACATGAAGGTGAGCAAATGGGCACGTAGATGTTGGGCAGTGGTGCGTAAGTGTGGTATGCATGAAGCATGGGTGCGCCAAAGGCTTGCTGGGCCAAAGGACGAATAGGTGGTGACAGTATGCGGTGCGATTGAGATAGAGTGGGATGAAAAAGAATGGAAAAAATAAATAAATAAGCAAGTGAGAGACTATAGGCTGAAGGTGTGGAAGCAAGGAATGGAGGGAAAGGACACTCTAAGACTGTATCAGATGAAAGCAATGCCAAAATATGAATGTATGTATGATAATAGTAGAGGCAGGGATCTCCTGTTTTGTGTTAGGGCAGGTGCGCTAGGTGTGAATGGACGTATATGCAGGTGGAATGAGAGGAGGGAAGATAAATGTTTTATGTGTGATGGGGATGAGAAGGAAACTGTGGAGCACTTGTTGATGGAATGTGGGGCATATGAGAGAGAGCATCAGTCTATGATGGAGGTGATTCTGAATGAGAGACGTGAGATTAACAAAGCGGGGTATGAGAGAACAAGTGAAGAGTGGATGGCAAAAATTATGGGTCTGTCTGAAGGAGCAAGATCAGCTATGTTTGAGAGTGTGAAGAGATGTTTGGAAAACATGTGAAGAGATGTTTGGAAAGCATGTGAAGAGATATTTGGGAAACGTGTGGAGGATGAGGGAGAGGAAGAGGATGATAAGAGTGGGGTCTTGAGGAACGGAGGGTTGAGAGAGGGAAGGGTGGGGACTGGGAAGACATGTGACCATACTGAATTGTTTTAGCATGTTGCTTTATTTTTTGAGGCTGTTTCAAAA